CAGAAATATATCAAACTTTCTAATTGTCCTAACAGAAATATATCAAACTTTCTAATTGTCCTAACAGAAATATATCAAACTTTCTAATTGTCTTAACAGAAATATATCAAACTTTCTAATTGTCCTAACAGAAATATGTCAAACTTTCTAATTGTCCTAACAGAAATATATCAAGACTTGAAACGTTCCGATATCTAGATTGTTGTGAATGTACACGAGGTAATTAACTTGTTTCTATAACAACACGGTGAATTACCTGGTCTGTTCAGTGACTGTCCGGAACCCTTACACAGAAGAACAGCACATAAACCCTGACGAAAGTTGTTACAGAAACCCCCATAGATTATGGGGTTCAGTGCACTGTTGGAGAAGGCGAAGTAAGTAGCGAAGTAAGTGACAACCGGAAACCATGTTGGAAGCTGCAAAAAAAAACAGTATTAAAAGTCAGTTTAAACACTAAAATTATTTTGTTTTACTTTCACAGTAGGAAATTTCGTACACTGTTTTCATGCAGGCTTTCATTTGGTCGACCACGTTACGTTTAATTTGTAAATTTTGTGAATATGCTACATGCCTGGTTCGAATTAAATGCACCAGTAGCCCAACGATAAGTCTGAAAGCTTATAATTCTAAGAAGCCGGGTTTCGAAACCCTTGGTGAGCACAGCACAATTATCCAACTGTGCAGTTTGTGCTTAACAGCAAACGAACAAAAAAATCGAAATAAATGGTGGAAAGACTTGAAAATATATGAAGTGACCAGCGAAGCGCATTAAAAACACGAACGAAACATTACATTCGTAATACAGGTATAGATATATGTGTAAGTACAGGTATACGAAACATTACGTGCATAATACAGGTATAGATATATGTGTAAGTACAGGTATACGAAACATCACATTCATAATACAGGCATAGATATATGTGTAAGTACAGGTATACGAAACATTACATTCGTAATACAGGTATAGATATATGTGTAAGTACAGGTATACGAAACATTACATTCATAATACAGGTATAGATATGTGTGTAAGTACAGATATACGAAACATTACATTCATAATACAGGTATAGATATATGTGTAAGTACAGGTATACGAAACATTACGTGCATAATACAGGTATAGATATATGTATAAGTACAGATATACGAAACATTACATTCATAATACAGGTATAGATATGTGTGTAAGTACAGGTATACGAAACATTATGTGCATAATACAGGTATAGATATATGTGTAAGTACAGATATACGAAACATCACATTCATAATACAGGTATAGATATATGTGTAAGTACAGGTATACGAAACATTACATTCATAATACAGGTATAGATATATGTGTAAGTACAGGTATACGAAACATCACATTCATAATACAGGTATAGATATATGTGTAAGTACAGGTATACGAAACATTACATTCATAATACAGGTATAGATATATGTATAAGTGTTCGTCTGTCGTACATTGTTGTGAGAAATTGGTGAAGGATCTCAAGTTTAAGTGAATGATTAACGGTTCGAGTATAGCAGGGATTCGATCTGTTCGGTTCTTTTGGCTCTTTATCAGAGATTTATTTTCACACAGTACTTGTTCCGTCATATTTAGCCTCACTCTTAACCGAGTAACATTGCTTTAGAGTCGTTCCTAAGTGACGAATGTGCTGATACTTACAGCTTTATTGTGATATTTTATTCAACTTGACACATTAAAATTGGTCATGTTAAATGTCTTTGAAATTTTTTAATGATTTTTCAGCACTATTTATATTATTGCCTGTAGATACATACATACATAATACATACATATATGTATTTTGTATTTCACATAAGTTACTTACCTCACCAGTCAAGCTGCTTGAGTGTCCGAACTGAGAATAAAGAATGATGACCTGGAATGGCGTCCAACAACAAACAAACACGATCAAGACGACGGCGACAAGTTTAACAACCTAAATAACAAACCCAGAAAAACAGTCAACAGTGAGTGGCTGTTCTGGGTTTGTCTAATCAAAGTTCAGAACATACAGTCATCCAAAAAATTAGTTAGACCCTTCTCTATGACCTAATAGGATCCTGCTCTACGAATACATGAAATTGGTAGGACCTTCCTGAAATATTACATGAAATTAGTAGGATCCTTTTCGATGAGTACATGAAATTAGTAAAACCCTGCTCTATGGCTATACGAAATTAGTATGACCCGCCTCTAGGACTACGTGGAATTGGTAGGACCTTCCTGAAGTATTACATGAAATTAGTAGAACCCGCCTTTAGGACTACATGAAATTAGATGAACCCGTCTCTAGGACTACATGAAATTAGTAGAACCCGCCTTTAGGACTACATGAAATTAGTAGAACCCGCTTCTAGGACTACATGAAATTAGTAGAGCTCGCCTCTAGGACTACGTGGAATTAGTAGAACCCGCCTTTAGGACTACGTGGAATTAGTAGAACCCGCCTTTAGGACTACGTGGAATTAGTAAAAACCGCCTCTAGGACTACGTGGAATTAGTAGAACCCGCC